TATTGAAGAATTTAAACTGCGATATGAATATGAAACAGATTGGACGAAAATCCGTTACTTGCATTCATATGTAATAAGTGGGCTTTGCTTTGCATAAGTATCTGGGGATGCCACCCATGTGCATGAAAAAGGCATATTCGAAGAGGTAGATTCATCCTGGATCACCCGCTTTGGGTTGCGGAATAATTCAGACAAAGTGGAATGGAAAAAGGGGGAACTGCTGGTTGCGTATATCGGCCGGAAGGTCGCAACAGCTTATCCTGGTGCGGTTTGTGGTGATCCGCATTTCATGAACGAGAATTATGGAATCTCAATACAGGTTCTGCGAATAGATGAAGAATTTGTCATAAGAGTGATTATTGCGGTGTTACAGACGAAGGATGGAGAAATGTATAGGGTCTTGGAAGCAGCATTGAACTATGAGAAGGCCAGGAAGAATGTGAGAAAGATGTCCTCGTGCAGAAGGTACCTCGGACATCTGCAGGTTCGGGGCGAATTAGCCCAAGGAAAATTTCATGGATACTAAAAAGTTATAGCAAAAGACTATGGAGGTTGAAGAGCGAGTGCAAAAGAGAAGGAAAATGTCTGGACATAATCCGGGCAAGGGACGACAATTTGGATTTGCGAAAAGAGGACGTGATCTGTTCTGTATGGATAGGCAGGGGCCAAGTGACGAGAGTTTGCCCAACAGCAACGTTCATCATTTTTCAGCAGGTAAAGGAAGGGGAGCTGCGCGCTGGAAGACGAGGGTGCAGGCTTTTAAAGTGCAGCTTGACCATTTACGTAAGATTCCACTGGAATCACCTGAGAGGATGTGTATACTGGGAAGGACTAAACGGCGGCGAACATACAACAAGCGTATAACGGAGAACATCCAAAAGATGCGCGTTTTTTCGCCGATCAGCGACAGTATTTATGGAAGTATTTCTAAAGTGTTTTATTGGTAGAAATGCAGTTTTTCACATAAATTGTTTATCATCATTTATTGCCTTCTCAAAGTGTGTATTATGATGATTTTATCAACTTAGTAGTTTAATCACCGAAAAGTGATATTTTTGAATTGAGTGCACCTATATAAGCATTGTACTGTGTATTGTTGTAATCGATATCGCGTAGTGGGGACGACCCGCAGCGCGGGAAGAATCTCAAATGAAGCACTGGATGATAAGCCGCGAAGAGCTGAAGTGAAAAAGTAGGTTGTAAGAAGTTGAAAGGAAGCATTAAAAAGAGAGAACTATGAAGAGGATGAAACGTGACTTTAGAAAGGGAAAGTGCTAGTTATTGAAGATCGTGTCCGAAGGAAGACTCGAGTTATGAAAAGAGCCTTCGTGCTGAAAAGTACCTTGAGTTTGTGGAACCAAACGGGCTGCACAAACTCAGGGTCCTTTTAAGGTTTCAAATTCAGCTTCACGTGCCGTACGTGAAATTTTTAGTGGGAAATTCTGTAGCATAGGAAACAAACAACATTCCGGCTATTTTTGCACATTCCAAAGTACAAAGCAGTGGAATTCTTTAGCAGGAAAGCATTCGCTGGACAGATCCGCAGAAAAAGCATGATCGCACCGGCTGCCCTGTTGCGTACTGCTATTTATTTATTTATTTTTTGGTAAGGAGTTCGATGGTCTGGGTCATCACGCCCTCACACGAAAGCGCACCTTTCGACCGCGCAGGCCTTTTCGTCCCCCTCGCGCATTACAGACGCCATATCGAGTTCACGTCATTTGTTTGGTACTAAATTAAATTTCTGATTGTTTAACAAAAGAAATTTTAAAATAAGACATTTTGTATATTTCTAGATCTGGAAGTCTCGATACTGGAGTGGCTGAAAAGACATCTAATCACCGACGAACTGCCATCATCAGCCAAAAAACGCTTCGAGGTTTGTTGCACTTTTGCAGTTTAATTTCTAA